GCTTTTGGTTTGCATTTCTTTTTTTAAAATTCATAGTAACATATATTACAGAAACAAGTTCCTCAGAAATCTGACGTTTAAAAATGTCAGGTAGCAGATAAAAGAGATGCTGTGTTTTGTGGTCTTTCAGTCACTAAATTTTTTCAAAGCTCAACTTTGCCATGATCATAACTCTTTTCTTGGTGTTAACAGCAATAATTGTCTTACAATTCAAAAAGTTAAACTACCATAAACCTTTAACACTTACTGAATGTGGGGAAAAAATCAATAGGTACTTAGTATACTTTTAAAATTTAATTCTCATAGCAGTATTACAGCACTTATGAGCCATACGAATGGGGAAGATTTTTAATTTTTTAAATATGAATTTTTAGGCTATAATATAAAGTGTTAAGAAAGATTTCCATTTGAATAGATGAATGACAGTTTATTATGCCAAATCTCATTAACAAGGCCCAGGCAGGAGAAAGAGGATGGTGGAACAGGGAAAGGAAAACTACAGAATTGGGGACAAAAGGAACTGGTGGGTCAAGACTCTTGTTGTCTTGTGGGTCAAGTATCAGAAACTATGGGATGGATGGGATTGTGAAAATGTGGTCTTTGGTATAGTTATTGGTTTACTGTGATGTTGAATATATTGGCATATTAAAAGCATCACGAAGGACAAATAACGCTTGACTAGCAGCTAAAACTTTTGGTTAACAAACAAAATAAAGAATTCATTATATTTTATAGTAATTCATAGTTTATAATTTGCTGGAATTAGCTGTCATTTCGTCCATTAAAAAAGTAAGTATGGGGCAACCTCTTTGGGTCCCCTTCCACTGTAGGAACTTTTCTGTCCTCTTAATAAATCCTGCTTAAAAAAAAAAAAAAGTAAATATGACAATAGTTTGTCTTCAGAAGGCTATACAGTTTGGTGGTGACCAGATGACTGGTAGAGTCTAACCTCAGTTGCAGTTGATTTACGTCATTATTTTCCCTACTCGTCATCATAGGCTGGCATACCAAAGTCTGCCAAAAATAATCAATCTATTTCTACCTGTCTGTCTGTATTTTTATCTATCATGCTTGAATTTTCCTTATTACTATTTATCATTTGTCTTAAAAGTAGAGCAAGCATAACACTTCATCACACACTTATACCATGTGCATCTGCAGAGCCGTGCAGCTTAAAGCCCGGTAGGGATATTTGGATTCCCTGTGGCCAACTTATCTTGCTGAAATTACTTGGTAAAGCCTAAGAGCATCTGAATTTCCATTACTTTATCAGTGTACCTCGTTAATGATATAGCTTAATTTGCATACCAGTAGTACCTTTTCACCACAGGTAAGAAATTGAAATGTTCAAGGTCAATTAACTGCGAATGTTTCAAGTCAGCTCATGCAGCTGTAACTGTGAGTGACGCTGGGAAGAGGGAGCGGTCAGTGAGGGGTTCCTCTTGCTCCTGATGAGAATTGATGATCCAATTTTAACTCACTAGAATCATGCTGATTCTTTTTCCTTGCTGTGCTTCTGTCATGTGTTTGCTTTTTAAATACTGGTTTATAAAGGCATGCCGAAACACAAGAGAAATAGTATAAAATTCCAAATTTAAAAAACATATTTTCACTACTGGCTTTAGAACATTAAAATTAACTAGGAAGGGCAAGAAGCAAAATAATCAACGTTTTCTCAGAGGAATTGGCTGATATAGATGAAATTTGAAATATGGAATTTTCAGGTTGACATGGCGGCTGTGGCTGGCTAGGGGTACTTCATTCACCTTTTCCTAACTTTTCATTGCAAAAAAAATAATGATAAAAATACACAGAGATATGCAACAATAACAGGACTGGGAATGCTTAGTTAGCATTAGACCCCAGAAGACTTTCAACAGTAGAGGGAAATATTCCCCCACTGACTACCTCTATCATGTTCCTATGCTTCAAAGACATGGTCCATTGTTAACCACAAGGAGGGAGGTTGACCCTACTGCCTGGTAGCTCAAGCGTGAGGTTCCCTGATCCCTATTAACACTAGCTTTCCTATATTCACTGGGAACTACCAATTACCACGTATGCATCATGGCAATAAAAGAGGCACTGTTGTGTCCGAGTTAAGAGTACTGTGCCTCTTGCCTGCTCCATGGACGAGGGCAAAGTATTCAAACTCTTTGTATCTGACTCAACCATCTACTAAATAGATTGCTTTGAGAATGAAGTAACAATACCTTCACAGAGTGCCTGGTGCAAAGTACTCACTTGCTCAAAAATATTAAGTAATACTGTAGTAGAATAAGTGGAGAAGGGTGGATGCTGTTTCATCACATCCTGAAAGATGAAGCATGAAAGAAGCATTGATTCCAGTTTTAAAATAATGCCGTGGGAACAGTTCCTACAGAGGGTTCAAGAACTCCCTGAGCTTTTTGTGGCAGGGTGCTATTTAAAGTGTGCTGCAAATCATTTAAGAACAAATTCCATGTAGTTAACAGGCTGCAAGGGTAGGAAGTATCCTTTGTAGATAGCAGAGCTGTACTAAACAAATAACCTTAAAAGCATCCAAAATTCAGCTATGGCCCATGTCTACCCAACAAGTTCTCTGGCTTAAAATATGAAAATATTTTACTCTATTATAAAGAAGGTAGATGATATTGGTGGACAAGAAAACTTTGCCCCAAATTGCAGGTTCTTCAAGAGCAAATACAGAGAAAATTAAAGGTAAAAACACACAGCAAAAATTGCAATATTTATAAATATTCTAGGTCCAAAAAACGGGAAAGCATTGTACTTTCAATGTATGGAGTGGAAGATACTTTTGAACAATGTTTCATTTTAAGAATGAAATTTCTGAGGTGGAAGGATCGCGGGAACCCAGCAGGTCGAGGCTGCGGTGGCTGGGAGAGGCCACTGTACTCCAGTCTGGGTGACAGAGTGAGACTCCAACTCAAAAAAAAAAAAAAAAGAATGAAATTTGATGAAGTATCACTTCTAAAGACAATGTAGTAATAGGAATCTTACCTGAATGCAAGCAATAGTTAGTGTGATGCCATCAAGAGAGGATCTTGTTGTAATATAACTTTTAAAAATGCTGTTTCGACCCAGTTTTGGAGCCCTGGCTAAAGTCTGGTCAGTTTCCCTTCTTGGCAGCTGATTATATTTATACTCCCACCACTTCCTTTGTTAGGTTCTCACCCTCTGGGGCCATGAAGCATCATCACTGGGGCCAGGTACCAAACAACTAGGGCCAGTTCCTATGTCCCTGTACCTCCTAGAGAAATTATTCCAATTAGCCAATTCACAGAAAACCTTCAAAACCTAGCTAACTAACCCCACCCCACTAGCCATTCATAAGCTGCCTCTACAACTCCAGTTTGCTGTTCATGTCTCCTGGTGCAGCTTCTTGTGCCCTGCTTGGCAGCCTTCTCTTGCTTGTAGTTGTAACAGAGTTTTGCCTTTCATCTATCAGAGTGTAATTGTGTTGTGTTCCTCCATCAAAAGATTCTTTAAATCTTATGAAACAGCTGTCAACACAAATGTGCCCCTTCCAGTCTCACAATGGCATGTGTCCCACCATAATAGCAAGCAATTACCTCTTTAAACTAAGTCTTGCACTCAAGGTTTCATAAAATAGGTTACAGATGTCAAAAATAATGCTTGAATAAAAACTGTATATTAATTAATGGTAGTTTATATCTAAAATTTCAGAATTTATTACCAGAGCCTCAAGGTGACTGGCAAAAGAATGGAGGAAAGAAAACATGTGCTAACATTCTTATTTTGAGTGTTATAAAAATGGATGTTGCATTTTAATAAATGTTGAATATCATACAAAAACAGACTCAAGAATGTGTCAAACTCTATTTCTTTTTCAATGATCCTATGTTATCTACATAATCAGCAATGTCAATATTACTTAAAATAAATAAATTCCCCAAATAATTCCCCAAATTATTATATTCAAATGGAAGAGCAAAGTGTCTTACCAAGATATGCAGGAGTCATATCTATATTATTCTGGTATGTTTTAGGTAAAATAAAACAAAATAAAGTCTACTCTACCCACACTTCCTTGAATATACACCTAACCTCTATGTTTCACTTCTAAGTGCTCAGGTACAACTTGCACTATGATGTCTTCCTTGAATCTCCTCCCCGCACCCACCCCACCATCTTCTCACCCACCACCTCCTCCCAGAGAGGAAAGAACCAGTGGTATGTTGATAAACTGGCTGGGTGGGGGCAGATGCTTATTTGCAAAGTTTGCAGTTTCCGTGATATAAATACTCCCACCATGGCCAATTGCAAAGATGGTTATGTTTAATAACTTAAAAAATTGAAAATGTATTAGTTGTCACTCACAAACTGTTGGGAACCAGTCACAACCTACTACTAGATAGAACTCTCTGTCTTCATTGTGCTAGTTTCCTCTAGCACATGCCTCATCAATAATGTTACATTTCAAATTTGATTTTCAATGTTTGTCCCTCCCAAAAGATTGTAAACACCTTGAGAACAAGAATGATTCCTTGACCGTCTTTCTTTTCCTAGGCTTCACAATGAACTTCTAAGTCTAACCATGATCAAAGGTAGGCTTCTAGTTCTACACATATAATGTGAAGGTATTCCACTACATCTGGTCCCAGGCAAAGGGTTGGAGGCCAAACTGTTACCAAATCATGCCTGTGGGCAGTAGACGTGCTAGTTCAAATGTTTACATGAATGTTCACCTATCAAGTTAAGCTCTTTAAATAAATTCAGTGAAACTTTTAATTCTCTCCAGTGTCTGGAAACTATAATACCTAGAAATGAACATAAATAACAGGCTTCATAATTAAATAATAGGCTTCATCCATTTGCACCAAATTCTTGATTTTCTATGCTTTCTACAATTATAAGAAATTTCATATTTTGGAAATTTGACTTATGCTCCATAGAGGAATATTGTCTTATTGATATATCTACTTTACTAACTGTTCTTTCTCAATTTTCTCCTGTTTCTATATTTTTTTTGGCCAAAGGAGCTGGTGGTTGGTCTCCACTTGTGTCGAACAAATACCAGTGGTTGCAGATTGATCTTGGAGAGAGAATGGAGGTCACCGCTGTGGCCACTCAGGGGGGATATGGAAGCTCCAACTGGGTGACCAGCTACCTCCTGATGTTCAGTGATAGTGGCAGGAACTGGAAACAGTATCGACAAGAAGACAGCATCTGGGTATGTTCTTTAACAAAAGACATAGTGTCTCAGGGAAAGAGTATAGCCATCACTGCATCTTGTTTACCAATCTCTTAAATTAGGTAGAAATGCAAAGTCTTCTGAATTACTTTGAAAACGTTTTCCAAGAGAAAATGTGGTAAATATTTCCTGGTAAATTTGTAAACACACTAAAGATAAATTTATTTTATATAGTCCTCGGAAACTGAAAAAAAGCCTAATAGTCCATTAAATATTGTGGAAGCCTAAGACACAAACAAGACTTGTATTTAAAGTAATTAAGTTTTGTTGAAGGACATGGTAGTTTTGCATTGTTTTTATATAAAGTTAGTCAAAATTATTTATTTCTTTTATCTCTTTTGATGACTCTGAGATTTCTGAAACTCTCTCTTGCTCTCTCTAGTACTTGGAGGTATTTATATATAATATTTGGAGTTATATATGTATATTTGTATGCATTCACACATATATGATTTATATAGAAACCTTTCTCTAGTTTCTCTAAAGTGAATAAGTATGTAAAATGCTGTGTCGCAAACAGTGGTGAAGCCCCTTTAAGAGAGACACTGGAAAAAAGGCAGTTTGTAACAAAGTGCATGATATTTGTAGTTGACTGATTGCATATAAACACTTGATGGAAGAAGGAAGCTAACGAAAGTTTGCTTGATGACAAAGCAAAGACTTCTTTCTTAGTGTAGAAAAGTATTTGTTTGGATCTTATGTGGGTCAGGGAGAACACACTGCAATCAAGGAACTATTTTTTTTTTCCCTCTGGCTGAACTGCCGGAACCAAAGAAAATGAGTAACTTAATGAAGCATCATTCTTAGTACACAGATAATTTGGAAGCCTATTTGGGTACTAAATGATAATTTTCTTTGACCAGTCAATTGCTTCTTTTTTGAAACTTTGTAGAACTCTGTTATACATTATAAACTCATTGAAGAAACAGGCCATGATTTACTCACCTTTGTATCTCTAAAGTTCTTGGTGACCATTCAATCCATGTTTATTGATGTAAATTGAATTGAGAAGAAGTAGCTGTATTCTTTCTCTAGAGAGAACAGTGGGACTAGAAGAAGTTGCCTATAAGCATTTTTGAGAAAAGCCGTTTAAAATCCAAAACAAGTTAAAGCTGTGTATAAGAGCAAAAAAAAAAAAAAAAAAAAAAAAAATCCTTGGGTATTATGGTTGAGTTAATTCTACGAAAACTGCTCAAACTAGGGATAAAATAAACAGTAACTATGAACCAATAACAATAAAACCTTAATGAGGTATTTATTTTAACTAGGTATTTGGATTATCTTTTACTCTTTTTAAAATTAAGCATTGGATTTTAAACTAGATGAGTAGTGAGTAATGCACACTAATTAGCTATGTTAATGAAAATGTATGTTTTTGACACTTTAAAAAAGTTATAAATCAATCAAGAAAAATTGTTTTTCTGTTAATCAGACTTGGGGAAAGCCAAACCTAGGTATTGCCATTTGCCTTTTTTGTTTCCTCCTGTTAAAATTGAGATGCTCAAGGTGAAACGGTGGCATGAAAGATATCCTCACTAATTCAAACCAATAAATGTAAAGACACAGCATCTATCACAATCTTGTTAGGGTAACATTGTTGTTTAGACTATGCTGTAATTTGTTGGTTTACTTACTGTCTTCTCTTGAGAGTGAGCTCTGTAAATAATGACTGTATCTTTCAACCTTTTATCTTAACATCCCCAAAGTGTAACAGTACCTGACATGTCACAGTCAAATCTTTTTTTTTTTTTTTTTTTTGAGTTGGAGTCTCACTCTGTCACCCAGACTGGAGTGCAGTGGCCGCTCCCGGCCACCGCAGCCTCAAACTGGTGGGCTCCGGTGATTCTTCCGCCTCAGCCTTTCAAGTAGCAGGAATTACAGGCATGCGCTACCATGCCCGGCTGATTTTTTGATTTATTGTAGAGATGAAGTCTCGCTGCCCAGGTGGGTCTCGAACCCGCGGGCTCAGGCAATCCACTTACCTCAGCCTCCCAAAGACGTAGGATTACAGGCTGAGCCACCGAGCCCGGCCACAGTCAAATCTTAAATGTTTATTGAATGAATCCTACCTTGTAGGATACTCTTGATAACACTAACTAAAAGTGTCTCCTTCTTGCCCCCATGAGCTCTTCCCTTTAGTACTTGTATGTTGTGCCAGTTTAACAAACTCAGAGTTAAGATGGCACATTTTTCTTTCTCGTACGAATTTTGAACACTTTTATGGGAGAGGTTTTATCTGTCTCATTTTAGCATTTCTGGCATTCAACACCTGGGTGGTACATGACTTTTGTTAAGTAAATTAGTGAAAGGGCCAATTAATGAATGAATAGATTTGAATATGTGGATATTCTAATCTGTACCTGTCTTTGTACACATTTCTGGGAGGTGTCAAAAGAGTTCATGTTAATGCCATTGAAGAGATAAAGTACATCAAAACAAACTAAAGAAGGATTAGGAGGAGCATGCAAACATTAGTTACAGTTTCCTAAAGACCTGGAAATGGATAGAATGTGGAGATCACTGTAGACAAAATTGGTAAAAGAAGTGGTGTTACACAGGTCTTGAAGAAAGCATTATAATTTAGATTATGGAATAATTAAGGGAGTTATTTCATTAAGCTAGAAAAGTATGAACAAAAGCATGCATATTGGGGGATATCCAGATATATGATTTCCTTCATAATGACTAGTGAGACAACAGATTGGACTGTCAAGTTCGGAAAGGAATGAATGATAATTTTGGGTATGATAAAGAAAGTTGATGAATAACTTTGAATGTTAAGATCAAAATTAAGCCTTAGTCCAATAGACATTGTGACGACACATAACATAGGTAAATTATGGTATAGGTAAAACAACTCCAAGTTCCGAAATCTTCCCAAATAGGTATATAGTATTTCTTGTTCATCCCAGGTAGGCTGCAAAGTTCCAGTCTATTCCATGTTCCCTCTGGTCCCATTCTGAGGGAAACTCCTTGTCTGTGAATCTATAATTGCTAAAGCAAGAAAATTGAAGCATGGTGAATTGTGCCCTGACCCTTGACTTTTCCACCTGAAAGAACCCTGATCACTTCAATTTGCATTTTTTAACACCCAAGAACAATTTTCAACTAATATATGTCATAAGAAATTTAATCCTTTGTTATATTTTACAAATATGTACTTCCCAACTTTTTTGGCCCAGTTTTTGTAGTTATTATGGGATGTATACCAATTATGCAAAATATGCCAATTTCCTTTAAGAGCGTCACAGTCTGCTCCAAATGATACAAATAAATCTATGAACGAGAGTTAGGAAACACATAAGGCATTATACAACTATTTGATAGAAAGAGAAAGAAAAGACAAGCGTTATTGGTTTAGAAACAAACAATAATAAAAACAATTAACATGGAATGAAATACCACAGCAAGGATTCTTCATTCTTTCCTCATGTGATCTTATTTCAAGCACCAAAGAGAACAATGACTTCTACATACCTGAAAGAATTAATGAAATGCTCTGCCACTTCTTATAAATAATCTTTATGGAGAAAGACAAAATATTATCTGTACATGTCATTTGGTAGAAATGTAAACTTGAGGGTTACATAATATTTCTAAAAATTACACATTAAAACCTTTCTTCAGAGTACAATTTATAGTTCAATGTTCACAAGATATAATTTAAACAAAGTACTCTGCTGGATGACAAATAAATATTTTATGAAAATTTAGAAAATGCAAGCAACTAAAATTACTCCTCTCAAATTAAAGATAAAATAAAATCTCTCAACATCCACGATAAAAAGTCTTTTCAGTAAGTTTATTGTAAGTGATTGAAAAAGTAAATGTGAGGTATAATTTTCACCCATTTAAGAACAATTTCTGAAATATCGTGAATCTAACATCTTAAAAATTATTTTAGGTAGATCAACATGTACAGAAATCTTACAGTCAAATTCTTCAATTTTCTCTGATAAAGGTCTAAGATTCTTTTATGCAGCAGACCACAAGGGCAACCTTATAATTTATTTGAATAAATATGATTATTAAATTCAAGAATAGTTTGCTTTATTTTATATTAGACTTCAGTTTTACCTGATTTTTCAAGCAAGATCTTTATTACATTTCTAAAGTTAGTATGTCTTTCTTTCTGTTCTTGAACTAGATGTGTCTAATGTCATTGTTCTGGGTTGTCTAGTAAAAGACGTGGAGACCCTGTGACACAGTACAGTCAACTAAAGTGCCACTTGTCACAAAATACTCAGGCCATTATTACCACTGTGAATGATTGAGTTGTCAACTCCATAAGCCAGACTGGGTAGGAACACTATCTGCAAAATTTTAACAGGCATTTGTTTCAAGTCAAATAACTACGTGCCTGGGGCAGTTGAATAGGAAACCTGGGGAAATGGAAGTGCAATTGAAGTATATGCGGTAAGTTAGATAGACTCCTCTCCTTGTGAGTGGCATTTTCCCTAGACACTTCTCTATGTTGAGCTCTTCTTCTAGTGGCCTAAGCCTACAGAAACATTTGTAGTGATATAAAGTGCGGCAGCATAATGCCATGTGTGTCAACATGTCAAACTGTCAAGCTTAATGCATTGCCATACTTGCCTCAGTACTTGGCGAATGTCTGGAGATAATCTGAAGCTGCTTCTACCTTTCAAGACACTGATCCAAAAAAGATATTTTAAATTAAAGTCTACATGATTAGTCTATATCTTAAGAAGTTCCCTGTTTATTTTTCTATTTAATGATGCATTTTCTACCTTTTGAAACAGATTAACCTAGCCACACACCATTAATAAGTGGCTGCATTTTTTTGTGTGTGTGATAAGAAAACATAACGTTAAATCTACCCTCAATACATTTTTAAGTACATTTAAGGATTTGTGTACAATAGACATAGCACTAAAATACATGAGGGAATATGAAACTATAGTCTTCTAGAAAAACAAATGTTTTATATCAAAATAGATTTCTGATTAATTAAATAC